GTTTTCCTTTCAACACAATTCGCCATTACAGGCCGTTGTGACATGTTTTCCGTTTCATTTTTTCATTAGATATATATTTACAAAAGCGAAGACATTTTACATTTTCTCTCATTTTGAAAAACAGTAAAATTATTTTTAATTGTTTATACATATTTGTAAAACTATTGTATATGTCAGTTCATATATTTGGATTTAAGGACCTTCAAATAATATGAATACTACTAATAATTAGTTTTTGATATTCTACTTAAGTGCCACTTAAAAAAGTAATGTTCGATAAATAAAGAAAAATATAAGTTTTTCAAGACATTAAGAAATTACTCGTTTTAGAACCATAATTAAAGACATTAGCTCTACCTATAATAAGGTGTGCACTATATGAGAACTGTGGATTGCATTAACACTGTGTGGTGCCCCTTTCACAATTAAATGTTTAAAAAAAGGACAAGTTATATCCTATACCTTTAAGCGAGAACTCTCAGTGCAAACCATACTTTACATGATCTCAAATAAACAAAAATGAATAAATAATTCTTTTTTGCATTGTCGATAGGTGCTAGTTAAAGCTTAAACAGAAAAAAAAATGTTTTCTTACCAATTTAAGAGTAAGAAATGAATATACATTTAAAACACATTTGAAATGCAGTTTAAACATTGCTTAAGCAAATTAACTTAAAATAGCAATTTCCTATCCTCGAAACAATACGTGCTAAACAGAAATATGTTAAACATAAAAATATTGTTAAAGAGTTCCTTTTGGTGTCATAGTAATTATATCATTTTGATTTGGATTAATTCCCAGTGACAAGAAGAAGTTTCATTTTCTGTTTAAGTCGCTCAATTTTGTGTTTGTCCTGAGGGAAACGTTTTTACGACAGTCCATTTTTAAGTAACAAATTACTTCATTTATTATAGATACAGAATATAATCCTTTAGTGTAATTTGGTAAATAAGACCAGATCTCTTGAGTGTAGGTTTTTTATGTGTAAAATAACTAAGAATTATAGCAAACCCATTTCTTGAGAATTTTAGTTTTCTGTGGGACCTTTTTATAGGTGTACATTTATCACTTTTGTTAAAACGGTTATATAAGCTTTGGGCAGTATACGACTTCCCCTCTAGGCAAATAGGGTAGTATATTAAGTTTATAAAGAAGATTTACCTAAAAATTCTTCTCTGATTTTTATTTCTAGTTTTAAAAGCAAGAACAACAAATTTTGTATTTATAGGACTCATTTTTCGTTTAAGACGTAGATAATTAATTTAATTATAAAACACTTATCCGATCATTTGTTTTGTTTTTGATGTTGTTGTTTTTCGTGATTTGTTCTTGTTTCTTTTTTTTTGGAGGGGGGGGGGGTGTTGTTGTTTTTTGGTCATATCTTGGCGCTTAATCCATCAGTTAGGCTTTTATGGGAGAACAAACAGGAATAACAAATTTCTCCGCAAGTTGTTGACTACTACTAATAGTTATTTGAAAAATTCAAACATATCTTACAAGATTAACCTATTTAGATATCATATTGTAGAGATAAGTGTCGTGTGGTTGCATCTATAACAATACCAATTTTGACATTAATACAAACTTGCTCAAATAATGTTTTTTATTAAGGTCTTTTCTTTTATGCGAAACATGCAATAGACATAAAAATTACCAACATTATTACATTTTTTCCACGCTTCCTTCATATATACATGTAAATCACATGGGTCTTAATTGTATTTAATATGTAGTTTGGTTTTACTTCTGCATTTATTGTTCATGCGGACAATATGTAACAGTTTCTTATGTTGAGGAAAACACAAGCATTACATAATATTTTATTCAAAACATTATTTTATACAATATTTACCTTACAGATAAATATTTATTACATGTATAGCTTAATATTGTATGTTTAAAGATAAATGTTAACTGATCATTTAAAATATATTCTTTCTATGCAACGTTTTATATTTCAGTTTGTTGACATTATGCCTATATTTTTGTTGTCGTGCTTAGCTGATACGGCAATATAGTTAAAATGATTAACTATAATATGGTCAACGACTACTTATTGACAAAGGAAAAAGTTAAGGATAAAACATAACAGAACAGAACAGTTCAGTTCTGATAAAACATAACAACTGTCTTAAATATATAAGATTGTTTTACACTTTTTTTTATACATTTAGACATTCCGCGAGTCACATTAGTTATTGATAATACACATGACATAAACTATAAAATTTAAAACCTACAGTTATTGACTTATACACCGTCTATTTACATTTTGATGCACATAATGTCACTTTAACTAGCACAATGTTGTCCGATTAAAACATAACCAAATTTTAAGAAGCAAAGTTTCACATTTTCATGTAGTTGTAATATTTGTTATATAACATGTGTATAGTGCTCATTTTATCACTGATATAAAACGTAGAGAAACACCTGCAATTAACAAATAGCAAACCAACATTAAAACATAACTGATATTTCTTATCTAAGAAGATATGCAACTGCAACATTTATGAATTATCAAGTATAATAGAGTTCAGAGCAAAACATTCCGGGGACAATAACTGTTTATATAAGGAAATACAAAACATATATTAGGAGCAGCTGTTGACTGTCGACCTTTACGTCACCTCAATGTTTTGTATCTAAAGACATAGACATGAGAACAAATGTTCTACTATTCTTAAATAGGCAGAAATCTTTAATCATTTTATGTCAGAATATACATTTTGATTTACACTGCAAAATATAGCAAGGCAATGCCAATCTAGAAATGGAAACGTTTTTTTTTCACTTTAGCAAATATAACTTCAACGTTTTACTCCTAACGATATCCTTTGCATGTTTAATAATGTCGTTGTTGCAGCTCAATATATGGTTATAACCTTCAAAAAAAGTTGGCACATGGCAACATCAAACAACAAAAATATTATAGGTTATATTTAATATCTGTTATATTTTACTTGCAAAGTTTGTATAATAAAACATACTCTTGGATCATCTACATACAATATGTATATACTGATTTAAAATGCAACAACAGTGATTCATCATCAAATGTTTCAAGCAAAATATATTCTAAAATTAAAGTTCCTTTAATGATATCGACTCCTTAATACGACGATTAGCATTCTCGTGAGCAATACTCATCGGCCTATTTTGGATGATGTTACTAAGTATTATATTTTTCTTCCTATTCATTCATCGCTATACCCCACAGTATGACAGTAAATATAATTACCTTACAGCAGATTCGCTGGAAACTATAAACTTTACTAGCGTTTTAAAACATGGGCAATAGCCCAAAAACAGTTCTACGCATCAAAAGCCCTATCAACAATATATCTAATAATTCAACAGAAAATACGGGGTCTTTCCCTTGTGTGTTGTTTACATTTATTATGTATGATTTAACAGGCCGCATATATTCACATAGTTACAATTTCTTTTATCATTATTCTTTCAAATTATGCAAATTGTTACAAACATACTACCGCAAAGACATTTTGCTCCAAACACGTACAATTTAGTCACGCTAAGCTATGAAAAAATAATTATTTGATTGTACATTAATCTCATCAAATAATGCAATATTACATAAATCGAAAGAAATCTATTACGTATACTTTATATTTGTTCATACAGTTATTTAAGATATGAGTCGTATTGCATTGCACAACTAATTTTATAGCAAGTACATGAATAATAGTCGATCTATTCAAACCTTTTTTTTCTCTTTTTTTTTTGGAAAAGCTCAAAATGAGATGAATACAAATTTGATAAAGCATCATAGAATACAGGAGCATAAAAGAATTAATTTCTTTTTTCTTTACCAAAAACATGTTTGAATACCATAAGTATTTATTTCATTGTTCTTATGTGCTTCTTTGATGAAAATTACTTTGATATTATAAATAACTGTCAATATATTTTAGTTATGGGCGAACAATTGTTGTCAAGATATTTAAGTTTACAAAGCGGTTTGACGACATTGGCATATTGTTTCCATTTTGCATCTTGTTCATTTTCGAAACCAATATGTTTTTACATAGCCATAGCTTCTGTTTTAATTTACAATTTCAATGGCAAATTTGCAAGACGACTGATTTATTTACTAAAACGTTCAAATCCGCCTTTGAACGATGACTTGTTAAAATGTAGCACAATAGATTGTTGAATTGGAAGAAATTATTTCTGCATTCACATGATATAGATAGATAAAATTAGGCCTGCAGGGCACGTCTGCATAACAGATGTTGTATTTTAGTTCCGTGTTTATGTCTGAGACTTTCTAAAAATGAGACAAATCTGAACATGAACAAGTGCAATGGTTGTATACACTTATTTACAAAACATAAACACTATATTTTTAGTTCATTGCAGTAAATGAACTCCCCTCTTTTTTATATTCCTTTTTTGGGGGGGAGGGTGCATGCTTGCACAAGTCGGAAAAAGAGTGTATCTGCTTTATATGATGTAACGAGAAACCACTACCATTGTGTCTTAAATGTCATAACATTGCCTTCAAAAATGAATAAATACAGTTTCAACATAGTAATTGATGTCTGGTTTTAAAGATTATAACACATCTATTATTTCTAAATATAAACACATTAGAAAATAAAAAAATATAAACAGACATTTGTTTTAAACAAATCTAAAATGAATAAAAACTTAAGTTATACATGCTATTAAAAAGAATATGAATAATGCGACTTACAAAAAGGTTTTAAAAAGGCTTTAAACAACAAAAAATACAACAGGTTTCGTTATCATTATTATCATCATTATTATTACCATCAATTCGTCAATTTTATAACAATTTTACTATGAACCACAACAAGAATTGACACAACAGGTATAAATTTATTTAATTAGAAACTGAAACGAACTGCAAATACTGAAGTTACACGATTCCCTTATATATATTCATGTACATGTAACAAATAGAGCGTACAAAACTTATTCACAAAGCAGGGTCAGTAAGGAATATTATTACCTTTTATAGGGCTCGGATCTTTTGAATGTTGTTCAATACACTTTTCTCGCAGCGCATTAAAAACAATTTCAAACTGCTGTGGGTATGATCTGCGTGTTGGAACTTCAGTCGCTTTCTCGTGTAATGTATATCCTTTTTGTTCTGTGTCTATTGTAAGTTCCTTTACCATTTTACTATTACTGAAATTGAAAGTGAAAAGCAAAATATTTGATAGTGAATCTGAATGGTAACAAAAGCAACAACAGCAAATCAATGCTGATTTTAGAAATAACAAATTTGATCATATGCATCTTGAATTCCTTGACCTACTACTTTATATATTTCAAAAATGTTGTTTATAGTTTTTTTTAGGATTGTAAAGTACTTATACGATCATTATGTACCTTTTGTGCTTGTTTTATTATTATAATCATTAGTATCATTATTATTATCATCATCTTTATTATTATTATTATTATTTCATACTTTATTTTCCTAAACTAATACCACCCTTTTAATAGCCAATTTTCCCTTTGAAATGGAATGATTAATTGCTTTTCTTGAATTAAAATATTTATACCCAATATATAACAAATCTAGTCCACATGTTTGCACTTAAAACATATGCTTCGTATTTCATAAACCATTGTCTGTTGTATATTTGTTAGATAAATCCTACGAAAAATTTTACAATATCCACAACTATGACAGATATAACAATACTGTAACAATTGAATTGCATAAGCAAAATTGTATTAGACAGGTACAATATTCCTTATGTACAATGAGTACATTAATTAAAATGTCATTAATTCAAGTAAATTACTCTATCAATACACATATATATCAATGAGAAAATTAAACAAACCTGTTTTATTATTGATATAATCCTAGCTCCTCTAGATATCACGAATAGATCCTGGTGCCTGAAGAATTATTTAATAACTGTAGAGCACAGCACTTGAGCTAACAAATATCCGATAAGATCGGGAATTGGCTGAAGATGTCAAACGTTAAAAAATGGTTTATTCTGATGAACGCGACGTGTGTTGTGTGTGAACTATTATCGCAATGAAACAAAGTAAACGACACTAATTGTTTTTTATCATTGTTTTTGTTCAATTGCTTAATATCAGCTTTTTATCAAAGTTATAATAAATCTATTCTAAATAGATATGGTATAACTTAATTGCAGACCTCAAGAGTAAAGAATAAAAAGTCCTATTCCAACAGTTAAGATTCAGTCCAAATCAAGAGATAAAAAATCATGATCGAAAACATGGAAAATAATTTATTTATCTATTTTAATGAATTTAATTTAAATATACATAGTTTGATGATAAAAATGATGTTTTTGAAACTTCAAATTTTACCTTAGTAGCTATTGTTAGAAATCCAACATTTTCAGTACATATTATTAGGTCTATAGATACGAAGCAATATTCTATTGTTTAAATCACCCATAGGTCGTTTTATCAATATTATAAAGTATATAAATTTGTTTCTATTAAATGTGTGCATATTTTTTGCATATATAAATAAGTGATAAGTGAAATATTCAGCAAATGAATATTTATTAGTAGATGAAACAATTTAAGCTTGTATCATAGTTAGTTTACCATTCATCATTTAAATGGAATTAAGGTGACAACGGAGTCAATTATCACTGAAAATACCTAAAATGAGATTTTTTGCTAAGTAGATTTATCAACCTTTTCTGAACACATTCGTGATTTAATTTTGGAAGCAGTTAGTCCAAAAAATGTGTTTTTAAACGTTTTAAAACGGTACCTATACTATTTGTATCTGCTATTCGCGTAACCTGTCGATTATCGATAACGCTCCGCCCCCTGTTGAGGCATCAATGAGGGAAATCGCTAGTTCCATATATCCGTGAATTACATGTCCATACTTCTCGTAATACATGTATCGTACAACTACCGTACATCTTTTATGAATATCTAAACATTTCGCCTTTTTTTATAAATTAAGAAAGTGTCGGCCAATGTACGTAACATAATGTATTGAACATAAATAATTAAGCATAGCGGCAAATCGCACGACCACGGGGTTGATTAAAAATGTAGTTGCTAAAATATCCATAATGTGTGAAAATAATTTGTTTGTCCCGTTAATCTGATATATATTACATTGAGTTGATAGACTTTTGTACGGATTCAAGCGCCTACTTTACATTCAACCTCGTTTTCTAACAATGTGAAGTAAAACAACAACAAAAACAGACAACATTTTTTATGTGAACGCATATATATATGACTTGTGGTAAGGTGTCCCTGACAAATTTCTAAACCATTTTAGATTGTCTAAGGATGATTATTTCTCTATGAAAAAAAAAGATATTAAAATATATTCTCAGTGAAAATAAATTGTTCGCCAGTAAATCGGACACAGTACTAATAAATCTGGGACAAAGTATGAAATTTATTGTCTATCTCGGTAGAAACTGGATCTCTATGTCGTGCATAGATGATATTCGTAATAGAAGTCAAGAAGGCCAGATCATAATGATCGAGTAATACCTTTTATTTCTATTAAACTATGTGAAGCGGAAAAAATATATAATATCCCGTTCTACCATGGACTTTAATAGACTGTCAGAAGCTCAGTTTTTTGTTATTTTATTTTATATTTTAACGGAATTTCATACACGAATACACAGACAGAGTGACACTGGTATAATACAATAATAATGCTGATGATAATAATAATAAACTTCAAAAAGGAAACAATTAAATACCCCGCTAGCGGTGCGCATATGCGTTCCATTTCCCCCCACTGAGAGCCTCAAATTTTACCGATAGTCACGTGACATGTGCGACAGATACCAGACGGATAGTAAATCACGTTAAGAATTGAAGAAATTTCGTCTATAAACTGATATTAATCAGCAGCTTTTTAATTGGTCATATGTCACTGGGTCATAAAATGTTGTAAGAGTATGTTACCGCAACTTGTGACCCTCTCTAGTGCGATATCTGTGTATTATGCAATTATTTAGCGTGAAACGTAGGGGTCCGAGAGAGAACAGCCGATTTATGACACTTCGTTTGATGCGGGTCGGACTAACTTCGAATCGGCATAACTTTTTTAATAATCAAGCAATTAACATGCGGTTTAAAGCACATGAAAGGAAATTCATTTACGGAGGGAACCGTGTCAGGGATTTTTGTTTGCTTAATCAGCGACTTAATTATCTTTAATTACGTAATATGTATGGTGAAAAAAGCCGCATGAAATGTTTGTCGTTACGTAATATTTTTTTGAGAAAAGATAGAAAAAATTTGAGACACGGTTCCCCAGATAATATAAGTATGGTTATTTTCCAAAAGTTTGATGACAAAAAAATAAATAATGACTTTGATATGACGATTTAAAATTTTAGGATTTTTATTCAAAATCAATCATTTACAAAAGCATTTTTTTCAAACATGTTATTTTTTATGATGATCAACGACATTTAATGCACAAAGATTAAATAAATAACAATAATAACTAAAATAACTTGGTTTAAATGACATTTATGTGAGTACCACGGAAAGTGTCTGTTGTCACCTTAAGTCTTCTTTTTGACAAACAAGGCTCGTTAAAGAAATATTTTTAATTATATGTGCAAAGTTACAATGTTGTTCTCTGATATAAACTACTTTAGTATGCGACATTGGTTATGGCATTATATGCATGTTCTAATGGTTACAAGCGTCTCTTTTACAATCATAACATAATTTTAAATTGTAACAAAACAAATCACGACACATTTCTTATAAAATGGAGAAATATTACTTGTGAATATCCATGTTCTTGTAAATAAATAAAACCCAGCAGCTTTACTGTAGGTATGTTTTGGCCGCTTAAGTATTTGATTGAATTAAGATAATGTGATATTGCCCAAATAGAAGTGAGAAAACTGTTTTATCTAACATGTTCCGTCCGAACAAAATCTGCCTTGGCTCATGTAAAGTATGGCACAATCACTGCTACACCATCTTTCCATTAGAAGGTCATTCCAAATATCACAGAATATTTACAATTTGAGCATAACTTTATACAATCAATGGTTATAAATGTAATGCGTTTTCCTTTTGCAAAAAAAACTATTTTAAAAGAAAGTATCAAAGAAGTGTTTCGATTTGTAGAAGTCATGTTAACTCAAATAACATACTTTCGAACTTAACTATAGATTTTCCTTTTAAAGTTTCTCGTATCACGTGTTAACTAAAAGGTAGGAAAGTTTACATCATGAAGGTATCAAACAAACTTGCTTTAGTTTTTCGCGATAACTAAAGCGCTATCAATTAGAATGTATTTGTAGAAATAAATTGCTCTACGATATCAGATTCGAATTTTGAATGTTAGGGAAAATATAAGATGCAGTCTTGGCAACATTTACTAAAACAAAAGTATTTTTTCGCATTTACACTTAAACCCATATGATAAACATACGTACTATAGTATTTAGAAAATGAAAATAGATTTAAAGTGACAAAATGCAAAGAGGTGAACATGGAAATGGTAAAATATTTTATTGAACAAACATCTTATATATCAAATTGCAAACGATAGGTACATGGTAGCAATTTCATGTCCCTTTTTTTCTACTGAGATGATAAAGTAGACGACCCCTGGAAAAACATTGTTATACTTATCTTGTGATTTCACGATCTTCCATCAATAAAATATTTACCGTGTATGTGCCTATCAATATTTACAACTGAAACAATGAGGAAATGTATATGTATTCCTGAAAATATTATAAGGAGTACAAGAACAAGCATTTTTTAGCAAATTGTCTGTGCCTTGATTAATCTTCAAAAGGGACAAATGTTATATGTATGATAATTTTTATTCTTTTGATTTTTATGCTTTTGGCTTAAATAAACACATGACATTCTCATATACAATAAACCTAAGAAGACACAAACTCTTTACTATCATTTCGTTTTCAATCACAAAATTTTCAAGTTGACACAGGTGTAGACAGACAATTAAAATCTCTTAACACTCACTCATTATGATCAGCATTTAAGTTCTCTTGTTGTTTTATAATTTTAAAGTTAATACAAAATTTATGAAATATATAATATTCACGAAACAAGATTTGGTAACTTTATATTGATATTAAATTGCAGTATGAAATGATTGCTTTTAGAATGATATATATATATATTAACCACTCCAAAAGGTCATGTTCATATTTCTAAAGTCAATGCCGTTTAATTGTGATTAGTGTTATTAAACTTCAGATCAGAAGAATCGCCCTTTACAGAAGAATGAAAAAAAAAGTGGATCAGACAAAGATGTCAGGAGTTTTTGAAAGACGTTCCCTTGACCTCCGGTTTTCTGCAAGGCAAACATAGAAAATTTAAACAAGCAGTTTTTTTTCCAATTTTTCAAAGTTGATTAAAAGTTCAATTTGTGAACAGTTTTTTAACAAAATAAACAAGGAGTGTCATTATCCAGCTTTCGTAGATATTTGCTCCTGAAAGTGAGATACACTTACCTCTTTTCAAGCCAAGATAAGTTAATTTTATGCTGTAAACGATATGATCACACTTTCTGTGAGTCTGAAATCTAACCTTTTACCCCTTTAGTATAATTATTATGATCACATGAAGCTTTTGAGTAGCGTTTATAAACTCACGGGTGTTTTTGGATGTCATTAAGTAACTTAAGACCAAACAAGCAAAGTTCTCTAAGGAAGTTGATTTTTGGCCTTCCTTTATATTATTTTTTAAAGCTATTATACAATAAACATTTTCATTTAAATGTTTCTTAAAAAATTACACCAAAATGTCAAAAGCTGTTTAGGTTTGTATTACAGTTTTGTAAATAATTGGGTTTTATATTTTCTTTTGTTTGAAATAGTATCGCCCTACGCAAGAAATAATATTTCAGTGTAATGTAGTACCTTCATTTATAGTAAATACATCGCTTTGTCCAGTTTCGCCTGATTGTGACAGATTAAGATCATTCTTATTCA